AATCTGCTTACCATTATTTAACATGAAGCCTTAATCAGACAAAAAGGAATTTTTGATTTAAGATCTATTTTATTTACATATATTTATACATATACTTGCAGATAATGGTTTAGGAGTCCTAGTTTGAATTTAAGTGAATTAGCTTGAGATCATTTACTATTACTCACGTAAAGCCTTAACCAGACAAAAATGAACTTCTGATTTAAGATATCTTAAGTATATTATATGTACTAGTACACTTGCAGTAAAGTTTTTAAAAGTTCTAGAAGTTCTAGTTTGAACTTGTTTAAACTTAAGTCTTAAATTTTGAATCTAGAAAATCAGATTTGAGAGATATTATGTACAAAATGCCCATTAAATTATTCAAAAAAATCCTATTAAAGTATCTGAAATCAGATGCTTGATTTAGGATTATTTAACAGGAGCTTTGAATAATTCAATAGGAGCTTTGTAGAATTAGGTATTTTTAGAAAATTTGCCAGAGAGTCCTTTAAGCCAACCGACTAACGATGATAAGTGTTTTTTTCAACTGGACTAATGATGATAAATAAAATTATAAAAAACATTAGAATTTGAAATTTATTAATTTAAGTTGATAATTTCTTCTCTTAAAATTATAAGTCTCTAAATAATGCCCCAGGGCGTTAATTCGCGTAAATACGGTAATAAGCAATCAAAATATAAATAATTTTTATAATTTAAATTATATTGTAATTAAAAATATGCTATTACTATAAATTATACTAATTATTCTTCTTACTACTTTATATGTATATGTATTATATATAACCTGTCTCACTATATGCATTATATATATTTTTTTATTTGAACTAATATTTGATAAAGTATTTTTAAATTAGAATTTAAAGAATTAATTGTATAAATATTATAAGCTGGTTCTTTATAATCTTAACTCTCAGAAAAACTTTTTAATCTTCTTGTTGATGGTTAGTTACAATATTTTGTAACAAAAAAAGTTATAATAGTTATTTATTCAATTAATCTAGACAAATACTTTTGTTATTAGCACTTTTAAGTATAGATTTCTTTGGTTAATAAAACAAGTAATGATATTAATTCTTTTTCATATGCAAGATTCAAAGTAATATTAAGTGCTTTTTTTATTTTGTCAAATCAATTAGCATATTTGATCTTTTTTGCAAACCAATTATTAATTTTTTATATTATATATAGTATTGTTACAAGTAAACTGTAGCCTTCTTAATACAGCACAAGTAACAAAGCACACAGCTATAGAGCTCTGTTGTGAGATTATAGTGGTATGAAAATGGAATGTAACTTTACTAAAAGCAGTTCGTGGAAAGTATATAGTTTTAAAGAAAGATATATTTTATTTACGATATAAGACTTTAATTATAAAAGATAATATTCCTATAACTAAAGAGTGTCTGTATTTAAAGGAGATGTCTGAGTCTTCTCTAACAGAAAGGGAAAAAGCCAGGGTTTATATATCTTTTGTCTAAACGAATAAAACTAATACAAATAATAAAAAATGATAGAAATAGTAGAAATAGTAGAAATAGTAGAAATGATAGAAATGGTAAAAATGGTAGAAATAGTAAAAATGGTAGAAATAGTAAAAATGGTAGAAATAGTAGAAATAGTAACTATTCTTGCTGTTTATCACATTACGCAAAACTACTTAATAATATTACACGATAATATAATAATACAACAATAGAATATAATAATAATACTAATAATAATACTAAATAATATTAATAATAAGAAATTTAGAAAACTCATTCTATAATATTTCTGTTCTTTACTCTGTAAATTCTAACTTCACTTAACAGTGTTATAAAGTCTTCTTCTTTTAATCCTTTCAAGTTAGTATAAATAATCATAATGGTAGAATAGAAGTGAGGTAGTCCGCAAACTTGGAGAAGTTGGTAAATTTGGTCAGCATATTTCTATGCTCTGGCAATATATCATGGTTCTAGAGCTTTGCTAAGGTTTTCTCTAATCTTTTGAATTTTCTAGTTATTATTATCAGTTTCTCTTTTTAGCTATTCTAGATAGTAAGAAGTTTTTAGAATTCGAATTTGTTGATTACGTGACTTTCTACAGCTTTTTTCTTTTAAGTGTTTAATAATTTCTCAAAGTTTTTCTTTAAAAGTTACTTCTACTAAAAGGTTTTGTTATAGAAAAACTTTATTTTTCTCTTCTGTGAAATCTTCAATAAGTTGGGCAAGGATTTTATTTCTATATCTTGAGTTTGTGAAGTTTCTGTATCTTGTTGCAAGAGGTAGTCAGCTGATTCTTCTTCTATAAGTTTGATAAAAAAGTAATATTATCAAAATCTATATTTGAAAATAATTATCTAATGCATCAGCATTATCCAAAAGTTGAGTGGGTAACTTTGGTTTTGTTTCTTGTAGAAATTGTAGTGACATAATGATTTCTGTTTTATTATATACAACAATAGAATTTCTAGTAATAGTCAGGCTATTGTTAGTTGCAAGAGGTTCTGGTTCCAAAGTACAAGGAAATTACTTAAAGCGGTCATAGTCTGGGGCTGTAATTGTTGTGGGGTAGGGGTTTCTATTTTTTAAAGAGTCAGGTTGGGTTCGTGAAATTACAAACTCAATATGACAATTTATACTTATAATAGCATTGAAGTAAAAAACCTTTATTAAGAATAAACCTAAAATTTTTTACATTTTAGAATAAAAAACCCAAATTTTTTTACGTTTCTGAATGAAAAAAACAATATACTGCACCCGAGTCAAGTTAAAGACCTTTATTAAGAATAAACCCAAAATTTTTTATATTTTAGAATAAAAAACCTAAAAATTTTATATTTCAGAATGAAAAAACAATATACTACACCTGAGTCAAGCTAAAGTTAGTGTAGTCAAACTATTCAGTAACTTAATAAAAATGCTTTTACTGCTATTTATATTAGAATATAAATCGATATATGATTTTCAATATAACACGATTCAACGATCATTTCACCATGATATTAATCAATCATACTCTAGTACAATAGTTAATAAAAGACTACTAGTAAAGTGGCTTTCTTGAAATCATGCCTGAAAACTTTTTCATCCTTTATATTCTTTTCAATATTATATCAAGCAATTACGATATACTATTAAACAACTATAATGAACCAAAAATTTGTGTTTAGATCAAGTAGGCAAGAAACTTCAAGCAATGATGCATAATATATAGTAAAATTTCTGTTGAATCATAACATTGCTTTTTAAAAAAAAAAATTATTATATCGCTCAAAGTAAAAAATTAAAAATTTCAAATTTTACAAGACAATTTACACATTGAATGACATACTCTGGACACCATTCAACATACACTTCATTCAAAATTATTATATGTTATAATGGACATGCATATCCGCAAAAATGTTAAACTGTAGATCAAGTTGCAAAATTTTAAATTTTGCTATTTAACATATTGAATATTTAATTTTTAATTTTTTTTTTGTATAGATGAATGGATCAATGTATATCTATATGTTTATGGATCAAAGTTTTTAGCAAATTGTGTTCAGATAAATATGCTTTATTCAAGAAACTTTTCTATTAAGCAAATAATTTATATTATTTCTTAAAATTGAACGTAAATTTGGAATCCGAATTCAATGCTTATAAAAATTATATGAAGCTTTTATTTATCAAGAAAAGTTATTGGCTAATGAATTTCAAAAAAACAATTGCCAGAAAATTAATCAAATTGTTAAGAAGCAATGACAATTCCAAAATTCAAGAATTCGTTCTTTAAGAAATTTATAAGAAATTGTTATAATTAATTTTTAGAAGAAATTGTTATTATAGATTATTGTAAGTTGTTATCATTAATATATATATTTTTGAATATATTAAATAAGTATTTAATTCTTTCTTTGTTTTGATTAGAGCATAATACTGTAATTGTGCTATTGAATTTTTTTGCCTATCTCTCCAGGTAAGAAATCAACTTTATTCATAGTATAAGCTAAATAATTCATTTATTGATTAATTATCAAAGATCTCTATTGATTAATCTGAAAGGCCGTCATATCAGTCATCCAAGAAAGAATTATAAGATGTATGAGTTGTAAGTCAACTGAATCAATTGGCTATTCAAATATTTTGAATAAGTACGATTTGGTATATATAATGTATTTACAAATGAGTTATGAATTATAACTTCTATTATTTAACAAATTATTCTACAAAATTTCTAGAATCAGAAAGTCAAAGTTCTTACTATTTGTTGGTAAATTTTTTTTTGTCATCTGTTGGTGCCTTCTCTATCATGTTACGTAATTATTAACAAATTCTTCTACAAAATTTCAGATCAGAATTTTGAAATCTAATAATGTAACCATGTCACATAATGTAAGACAATAAGTATTTTCAAATTAGTTTGCATATGTATATTTCAACTCAGATAGCTGACATGACTAATAAGCAATATGCATAATGATTAATTTTAGAATAATATAAAATGAAAGGATTTTATTTTATTGCTCTTGTCAATTAATACTAACTCACTATGAGAAAAAAAGACAAAAAAACCAATTATACACATATATCCTTTAATCTTAGTTCTTTGCGCCAACCTAAATGATCATTGGCTGAACAACATGCAACAGGCAATAATGAAATATCAACCAATTCACCTCGAACTTTGTTGCAGCCAAAATCAACAACTTCAAATATCTTAACTACATCATCACAACCACCTCAACACAAGCAACAAAATTAAACGTCTCATTAGAGTTATTACCCAAAAAAAGAAAAGCTGCTGACCAAGTGGCTAATATAGAAACTCCTGATTCTCCAACAACTACTACTAAAAAGACAACTACTACTAATAATACAACTACTACTACTAATGATAAGTCATTAGGTAGTAGAAAAGGATTACCAATAGACTTTATATATATTTTTTTTATTTTTTACTGTATATTTTAAATTTTAACACGTATATTATAATTTAGTCTTAACTTCAAGTTGTTATCCCTTCCATAACTTCTTTAAATAATAAAAGCCCAGGTTAATATTTATTTTATTCATTTTTATTTTATCTTTTTTAATATATAAGTTAATTATACATTATTTAATAGAGCAACCTATTACTGATTCACACACGTTAACAAAGATCTTACACATTGGACAAAGTAATAAATCACAACTTGAGTATCTTTCTAGAGGCTATGCGAAACTCAAATATCTTATAAACAAACAATGATTACGGTTTGAAAATATTCTTAAAAAGTTGGATAACGCTGAAGAAATATATAATTCTGTTGAGATTAAAAGTAAAGGGAAAAAGGCATTAAAGAAAACAGCAGATTATTTGTTTCAAGTAGATTCTCATTAAACTAATAAATAAATTTACTTTTTTGTGTTATGTTAATATCTATGTTTATTTGTTGTATATACTTTAGAAAGCAATTAAACAACTTTCATCTGAATTATTTTATGAGCATAAGCAAATAAGCGACGAAGAGGTGAAAAAGCAGCTCAAAGATAAGTTGAAAAATGACAAAGATTGTGCTGAGCAATTACAATATTTGAAAGAAAAGAGATTTTTATTCGATAAGTTGTGGAATAAAAAATTTTATTCAGATGTCAGTATTGGTATTCTTTACTTTCATTACCCTGCTGGTCATTTCCCTTATAGTCAATTTACCTGATATCAACAAGTAACAATTTATATTAATATATACTTAAACATATCTTTATTATGTATAATATATGTAATATCAGGTAAATGACCTATAAAAGAAATGATTATTAGACTAAAGAAGGTTTTTGGAGTACCTTTGGCATTAGTAAGGTAAAACCGTTTAATGAACGTGATACTAAAGAACAAATGAAAAGGTGAAAAGAGGACTCCAAGAAAGTTTATGAAGAATTATACAATCCAAGCGATCCAAATAACCCAAATTCAGATACTTTTCTTGCTTTAATCATCAAATATGCTTTTATATCTGAAGATGAACATACCTATGCTAATACTATTTGGACACAGACTGTTCTTGAACTTATTTTTAATGAAAATTATCTTTTGGCAAAACTTGACTCTGACATTGTTGATACGTGGTACTAAAAACTTTTAAAGAAAGCAAATAATATGGTATATTCATTTTAATTGTTTTTTTTTTTATATTTATTTTATTTTAATGTTATTTTTTTTAGAATAAAAAAGATGCTTGCGTCTCTTCTGCAAACTCACAAGTTGAATCTTTAGATTTGATAGATATTAATGATCATTACGAAAACTTGTCTAACTTCGACTCTGAAAGCCATCTAAGCGATAATAGTATTGAAGACAATGATAGTAATGATAATTATAATCCTGGTCCTTAAAAATAACAATGATAGTACATTTTTTCGAAGTTGTTAATTGATGAATAACTTCTTTAAAGGCTAATATTATTTTATTTAAAATATTATACTAATTTTCTATAATTTAATATACATTTTAAAAGCTTTTTCTTCGGAATACGAATATGAATATGGAGAAGTCTTTTGTGCAAAAAATTGATAGCGATTGTAATAAAATGCTTATAGTTTTTTCTTATTAGCTAGCAATATTGTGCTTATTATATTCTTATTAGCTAGCAATATTGTGCTTATTATATGCTTTTAACAATATTAGCAAATAAATACATTTATTAAATACTAGTTTTTCAATTAATACCGTACGCACTGACTATAGTACCCTTGCTATAATACCCCCAATATAAAAGACCCGGGTACAATTCACGGTTTTGCATTTGTGATTATGGAATAATACCTGGGTATAATATAAATTTCACTTATTATAATACTTCCGTAAAAAAGACCCGGGTATAATTTATAATTTATAATTTATTTACTTGAACTAGCATTGTAATATATTTTTAATTTAAGATTTATCATAATTGTTTAACCATTTATTTATATAACTAAAAAAAATTTAGCTATCATAATATATAAAACTAAAATATGATAATAAACTTAGCAAAGTATGAGTAAAGCTTAAAGACTTTTCTATTAGAATTGATATGCT